GGCCGGAGCTGGTCGTTACCCGAAAAGTTCGTTAACAGAGGCGTTCGTAACCCGAGGCGGAGTTCGCAAACCGAGGTAAATTTTTGCGGCCGGAGCTGGTCGTTACCCGAAAAGTTCGTTAACAGAGGCGTTCGTAACCCGAGGCGGAGTTCGCAAACCGAGGTAAATTTTTGCGGCCGGAGCTGGTCGTTACCCGAAAAGTTCGTTAACAGAGGCGTTCGTAACCCGAGGTACCACCGTACTTTGTTTTTTTCCCCCCATATTTTAAAAGAGGGATTCAAAGATGTGCTGAAATTGGAAGAATCTAAATCTTCTGTCTACACTGTCTCAGAATACTGTCTCCCTTATAAGTGTACTACATAATTTATTTCACATTGGTCTTCCAGCCTGATTGGCTGTCCTATTTTTTTCTTTCTTCTTCTCTTTGCCACTGTTAGGCTGCAGACTTGGGTATGCTTATCTGAGAGTAAACATCATTAAACAACGATGAAGCCATTATTTGTTTTTATTTCAATTTGTTGAATAAATAATAGTGGCTTGTTCACACAAACACAATTGCATAAATCAAGATTTACAAGGAACAGCTGGGTTCATATATTGTTTGGTTTTGGCTTAGCGTTATGTGAACTCAACCATTATGATTTGTAAAGTGTGATTTATGAACCCAACAATTGTGCTTTATCCAGCAAGCTATTGTTTGCATGCTGTGTGACTCCAGTCATTGAGGTAGGTTCATATTTAGGCATGTCCATTCCCAGAAGCAGATTCCCCTGAATAAGCTTGCAAAATCTGTGGAGGTCTGTAGATATCAGCATAATATATACAGCTGAATTCTGATGTGCATAGTGATACTTGATTAAAACTTCCAGGACTGTGTAATTGCTTCTTATAAGCATGTCTTCCTACTTACAACTCCAGTCAGCTCTACAAGAATGCAAGTTATGTATCCATACAAAATGTTATTCACAATTCCTTCATTTTCCTCGGCCTGCAGACTTGTGTAGTCTTATCTGGGAATTGGCCCAAACACATTGTATTTACTTATGAGTAAACATATAGAACTGTGCTTTTTAGTTTTATGATCTCAGTCCAGATCCTTTATTGAAAAGGCACTGTTCTAGCAAGCTGTCAATACAAACTCTTTTATAGTCCAGATCAGCTTTCCATAGGTTGGTGCCTGTTCTTGAAAAAAGTTTTGGAAGGCTAGTGGAAGACATGTTTCTGTCTTAAGCTGTATGTTGGTTGTCTTCCTGCAAGCTGATCTCTGATCATAACAAATAAAATTATAACACACTGGGAGGTCACTAAATTGGAAAAGGCTGGTTTAGACTCTAGGTTCCCAAACTGTGGAGTGAAAACATTTGGGCATATACCATTTTCATGTATCCTGATGTGAAATTTCAACTGTTTGGAACTCTACCTGCATATACTGACCTCAAGTGCAATATTGCCATTTTTTTACAGAAGAGCGTGCTAGTCACTTCCATAAGCAGAACTCCCTCAATAATCAGATTTCTTCCCCCCCAAAGTAATTTTGATATTTATTTAAAGTGGCTTCATTGCTCATTTGATTGGATCACTTCTGGCAGTAGTTATTTCAACAGGTCAACCCCTGTTACCAAAAAAATATTTGCACCGCTTTGAGATTAATTTACACCTGCCAGGAAAGACGCATTCTGAAATGTCCAATTAACATTGGCAACTGTTCCTTTTTAAGTTACTGCTCTCTATATCATTGGTCCAAAGTATGCATCTGCAGAGGAGCAGAGATGTGGAAAGTAGAAGGAGCTTAGAAAGGTGATCTGGGTTCACAAGGCTCAAATGCTTTATGAAAGGCAAGAATTATAAAATAGAACAAGTGGGCAAATGGATTTTTGAATACAGTGGCTAGGTCAAAGTCAGACAGAGTTCTTGTACCTTTAATAACTGAGTAGAAGATCAAATTCCAACAAGTATAGTTTGCATGGCACACTGAACTTGAGAAATTCTTTCTTTGACATGATTATTAAGAGCAAGGAACCCTGACCACCCCACTTCCAATGACAGCAGGTATTTCTTGTGAGGATGAACCACGAATATATGCATGCTCCCTCGCTCCCTCCCTCCTTTCCACACACACACTTTTCCCATATTAAATTTCTATATTTAAATTCAGTGGATGGATACATAGGGTAATATTTTTGTAATAACTGCCTGAAAGGAAATGTTCATCCCATTCAGATGGTGTGATTAATTATTTCTGTCATAAAGACTGCAAAGCAATCCACATTTTTCTTTTAAAAACAACAGCCACTTCCAACTTTGGCTCTCTAGGAATATATTATCAATGGTCTCAGTTCTTCCAGGAATAATTAGATTTTAGTCACAACTACATGTGGGACTAAATAGCAAACCTTATTGTGATAACTCCAGCTGCATCAGCAAGTAGCATTTGTAAAATGCACCTATCTTTTTGTCTTTCATTTGGGATTTTTTGTGGTAAGATTAATGGCACTAATTTCCATTTCAGTTCCGTATTGTGTACATCTCCATGTAAAATATTGGTATTCTTGCTTTTGGCTTGTATTAGTATGGTTTCATCTTTCTAAACAGGCGTTTTAAGGTATAAATGTAGGTTTGTCAAAACACACTTTTGATTTAAAGCACTGTCCTATGTATATTCACTCAAAAATATGCATGTTTGCCTAAGGAGGTTTATATAGCATTGCACAGTGAAATGGCAAATAGTTGTCGAAAAGAATTATGACAAGAAAAATAAGATTTGTTGTATAATACTCACCTTTAAAAATGCTTTTAAATGACACTATATTTATTGTAATTACATATTTATCTAATTTAACGTTATGTCCAATTTAACAGTCTTTAAGACATTTGAGTAGCTTGTATTTTATGTTTTTTGTAACTTTTCATTTTCTTAAAAAAATTAAAATTAAGAGTGAGAAACTAACATTGCTTTACTACACAGGTTTTAAAATTATGCTGAAATTGCTTCTAAATATTAAACATTTGTCATTTCATATCCAGCAAGTAATGTTATGGAAAATATAACTTAAAATTCCACACAGATTTTTAAAAAGTCGTTCAAATATTATTCATAAATGATTTTTAGCTTCAGCTGTCTTTTGTCTTAATTAACTGAAAACTTTACTTTGGAGGTATATATTTTTGCTCACTGTTTTTGTTTTCACTTTTTGTAACATTTCAGCATAGAAAAGTAATGTATTTGACAAATAATCAGGTAGACTTTTTTCATTAATAGGTGTTGCTATTGAAGTACAGATGTTCATGTTGACTACAGTTTAGGGAGATGTATACTTATACTTGATTTTTTCTTTTTCTTTTAGAATTGAATTTCTGCGACATTTGAGAAGTTATTTCCAGATTATGTTTAAAATTGAAACCAAATCGTTTGACGATGAACGGAAGGGAGGTGAAAAAGTCTTAATGACCTGTGTTGGCATTGGGTTTTCCAATCTTAGCAAAACAGTAAAATGATCCTTTGCTCATGGATTTCAATTAAAAAGTACACTGATAATTAATGTTTCTATTGATATACTTTCATGCACATGTTCAACTCAGGAAAAATATGTGGATTTTGTGTGTGCAACTGACTTTCAATTATTAAAGCAGTAGATGTTGTATTTTAATTACTTTGAAAGACAATTTTGAGACACTGTTATGGACTTGAAGGACATGTTGGAGGTTATATTTACTGAAGATACTTCTAAGCATTTATGGTTAATTTTGGAGTTGGACATTCTAGGTGTTGAACATGACCCACAATCTACATCTCTATTCCTTTTGTTGTGGAAAGAGCATGTGCTAAAATCTTGTTTAAAATCAGAAACAATGATCAACATGTTTATACAATACTGTAAAAATTACAGTTGAATTTTTCCAGGAAGCTCTTTAACATGTATTAAATTCTGCTGGAAGTTTTGTTATCTGGCTTTTTTCAAAGAAGAAGGCTTGAAAGATGGTAGACTGTATGCAAAAGTAGCTGTCTTTTCCATATACCTTATTCTTTCTCGACCCTATGGTGAAGTCTGAACAGAGAGGCTAAATGCATAAATTTAGCCTTTTATTCTGAGTAAATGGATGCTAAAATTGCTTGTCCCATGTCTTATTCTTAGTCAGATATGGGACAATTGCAGCCAATTGATGCAGAATCTTATTGACTACGTAGTATAACAATTTCAATTTTCTGTATCTGGGAGTGATTCTGAATCAGTAATTGAGTAATGGAAATCATTATAGAAAGGATGGCCATTCTTCTGCCTAATATCATGCAAGCAAAATTCTTGAGTCTCTTTGAATGATTTGAAACATATTTTCCATCTGGGCTAAGTTACACTTTGCAAGATATCCTGTCAACTGATTCATGTGCTCTCTTTAATTGTTTATGTCTGCCTTCTCTTACATTTCTTTCCCATCCTCCCTACAATCTCTCACGCTGGAGAGATTATTATTATTATTATTATTATTATTATTACAGTTCACAAGCAGATTCTAAAGAAAAGCAACCTTCCTATACTCTGCATAAGCTGAAGTATGAATAAAAGCTGAAATTACACCCAGTTCCCTCACTTGTGCAGAAAAATAAAGAACTTGAGACTACCACAACACAAAAATTGGAAATAAAAAACATAAAACACATTCCTAGCTACATGTTTTACTGTTTCTACAGGAATAAAAGTTTCCTAAAACAAATGTTCTCCTCTTAATGACTTGGATTTCTCCAGCTTGTTGAAGATTCAGAGGCTGTTGGGGGAGATGGAAGCCCCCACTCATTACCTAACCTCATTCCCCAAACTTCTAATTCTACCCTCTTTTTAAAAAAAGATTAAAACTTTTCTATCTCCAATAGAGGGAGGGGCCGGGTATGTACAGTACATGATAGGCTCTCAGATGCACTCTTTACATCCTCACAAGAGAGAGATGGCTCTTTGTCATGCAGAAAGCGAACCCCTCCCTCTGCTGGAGATGGTCTTTCTAAAACAAAGGGTAAAGCTCAGCAGAAGTCCATGGAGAGAAGCTGGAAAAGAACAAGGCTTTCTGTCTTCTCAGCAGCCTCTGAACAACTCATTTGTCATCAGGATTTACATCACATTACTAATAATTGATTTTAATTATCCACTTTATGGTGTCTACAGCAGACACAAGGCAGATGTTTTAGCAAGACAATTCAAGCTGACATGAAATGGGCATGTCGTATATACTGATTCTGCAAATTTGTACAGCTTTACTAATTTATAAACCAGTTTAGCCGGAAATGACTGATACAAGATAAATGAGCATATATATCATGAAGAATAATACTTTTATCATGCTACTTTCATCTTCCTTGAACCATTCTCAGGCTCAACATCATAAAAGTTCAGGTGTACAGGTATTGTTCCTAGGTTGCTTTGGAATGGGATCACTTAGAGGAACATGCATTTTTACTGGTTATTTAAACATATACAGTAAACTAATTGAATGCAAGTAGATGCATACATCATTCATAGCATTAACTTGTTTCCTTTTTTCAATTAAAAATAATTTTATAAGTGAAGTTAACAAAAAACAATACAACAGTGTTAATACAACCAAAAGCAATAATGATAGTAATAAACATAAAGGAAAAAGATCCATATAACAATTCCACTGATGAACATTAATGTACAGCAAGTTCAGCCCTTAATATTTGTTACAGCTATTCTTAAGGAAGACCAATCTTAGCAAAGATATTGTACCTGGATTCCAAGTGTCTAACTAGGTTTGGTCCAGGCAACCTACACTGATTAAAAAAAAAAAACTAGCTTAGAAGAGCCACTGAGTTGGAAGAGTTCCTGCAGCTCTCTAAATGAAAGAGAATAGTGGGAGTCAATCCAGAGGGACAGTGGTGCCATTAAGAATCCAGTAGGGCTGAATTACTGTACCATTTAAACCAAAATAAATGGATCTTGAGCCCTTTTAGTGCTCTTTATTGACTTCCATCAGAGTGGCCGCTGGTGACATAGATCTGAAAAAGTAAGTCTTCCTTGAATTAAGTTTGATTCCTGGTGACTATGTGGACTTGTAATGATTTTTTTTTTTTTTTGGCAACAACACATAAGTGGTTCACTACTGCCACCTTCTTGGATGTTTTCTTCAACTGTCTAAGCCAACAGCCTTCAGATTTTCTGGTGGTCTTCTACCCAAGTATTCATCAAATCTGGCCTTTAGTTTTTTTCAGATCAGTCAAGTTTGGCTAGGTGCTACTATCTCTTCTGATGGTAGGGTAGACACTGAATGGCACGTGTAGGCACACTTTAATATGACAATCCCCAAGAAATACACCCATTTCCCCCCAAACACACACCCACACAAAGGCACCCCTCCCAGATGCATGATCCAGCCCTTACACAATCTATCCTTTCATTCATATTCTTATACTCTTCTGTTGGAGGAAAGGAAAAACGATGAGATTTTCCTTTTCTCCCCTTCAAAGGAGGGAAGGATCATTATTATTATTAGATTGTTATTCCACCTTTTTTATATAACTCAAGGTGATGAACATACCTCACACTTCTGCCTCCTATGTTGTCCACAACAACAAACCTGTGAAGTGGGTTGGGCTGAAAGAGAATGACTGGCCCAAAGTCACCCAGCCAGCTTTCATGCCTAAGGCAAGCCTAGAACACAGTCTCCTGGTTTCTAGGCCAGTACCTTAACCACTATACTAAACTAGCTCTCATGGTACCCCTCCAGTCATTAGAAACAGAAACAGTGAATTTGAATGATTGATCAGCTGACTGATATCACACTGGACCCCCAAGTAGCATATTGATTTCCCTGATTGAACGTTCTATTCCCTGCATGGTGCCAAAACACTTTCAAGCGTGACTTTGTTTCATTACTATTTAAACCAGTGCTTCTCAACCTCAGCAACTTTAAGATGGGTGGACTTCAGCATGGCTGGCTGGGGAATTCTGGGAGTCTACCCATCCTGAAGTTGCTGAGGTTGAAAACATTGGATTAAACAACCATCATCATCACCACTATTTACATATTGGATTATGTGTTTTATCTGATACCTGAGTCAAACTGTTTATAACATGACATCCTATCTCAGCCAAAGAAAAAGTAAGAGACTTGGGATTTTATGCAATTTGTTCACATAAATAAAGTGCTTTATCAATGTTTGCTCTAATGCTGAAAGTGTTATTGTCCTGCACGTTTTGCATTGCAAGTCGTTTTCTTTCTTATCTGTGATTTGCCACCAAGTGAATCCATCATAGTTTCTACTTTTTCTTTGTTCTCAGTTATTCGGAATGAAGCAGATTCCCTTCTAAAAATGCCAAGAGATATAGTCAACTGTTTTTAAGAAATGGGTCTTATTTTCATGAGAAAGAAAAGAATCTAAACTAATTTATATTATTTCATTTTGGCACAAACTTCCCTAAACTGTTGCCTTCCAGATCTATTGGACCATAATTCTCATCACCCCAACCAGCAGGTTAGGTGTATATTTTTTAAAAATGGGAACTGATACTGTAGTTGTACAACAAATTGAATGTTTTCTAACACAAATATTTATTCTATTCATAAAAAAATTGATACCTGCGTCTTAATATCAGACACTTAAGATTTTGTTGCACTATAACCCCTATCACCCTTGGCCACTGACCATTTTGGGTAGGGCTATTGAGACTTATAATTCAGAAACAGTATAAGAGCCACATATTCACCAACCCTGCAAGAAAATGTGTCAAATGGAGAAGAAGCAGAGGACAGTAATCTAGCTGGTTCCTCAGTGTCACCTGATTTTGGAAGCTGCCTCAAGTCCAACAATATCTGGGGAACAAAATCTTGACAATAGCATAGAACTGTTTTGTTTTTAATAGAGCTCCATAGCAGGAACATTTTTTAATATAAGCGTTTCTATCCCATCTTTAGTGTACATACATGCTTTGGTATGGCTAATATATAGTTACTCTTCAAGGTCATGCCTTTGAAGCAATGTAAACCAAAACCAGAATCAATTAACATTGTTATGGTTGATACATCATCCCAAGTTATCACTTGCTTAACTGTGGTCTGGATTCACATAGACCACAGTTTAAGCTCAGATATTCCAGCTATATGAAATATGTCTGGATCATTCACAGTAAATCATTATGAATGCATTCTCTATTGTCAAAGAAGAACATGGTTTCATTGTGTTAAGGTAGCTATCGGACTATCTGCGCAATGTGCTTCACTAGAATTTTCCCAGTAGTGACTTATAATATCTTAATAGTATCATCCACCCAGCTGACATAATATTAAAGATTGTCCTTATTACTGTTTTTTTTTGGCACAAGGGTTGGATGACTTTATTAACTACTAAACAGGAAAATGACATTAGATTTATTGTAGGAAGAATTAAAGATCCATACACTGAATGGTAAAATAGCACTTTACACTTACTCAGTGCAACCAAAGTTTCAAACAGCTTGACCAATAAATCCATGCTGGCTTGGGCAATTTGTGCAGCTCACCAGACTTCACACTGAGCCAACCCTTATTCTTGGAAACAAATCATATGGCTACATTCATACGGCCTTGCTCCAAAATACATAGGATCTTCTTGGAGCTTAGTTTGTTCTTTCTGTAAAAGCTTCATGTCACTTTCTTTGGAACACCCCTTCCCATTTATAAACTAAATTTCTGGAAATAGGAATGTGTTTATCATTCTAATTATGTAAGGTCCATCTATACAGTGAAGGTTCTGTAAACAAAAGTACATTCAAAAGTACATTATGGCTTAGCATGATGCACAAAGCCAGCCAACATATGAAATTATGCCTTCTTCTAGTTGGAACTTTTCTGTATTCACGTCTGCATGGGCTTTTAGTTGGATCGCTAATGTAGTGGGAAGGTTTTTTGCTTGACTTGTGTCTTGCCATACTGTATATCCCATTTGGACCTTTAATTACTGTGCGGAAAATGCAATCTAGGAAGTCAAAATCATATTAAGGTGTGCCTTTCCAAAATTATGTGCCTTAATTAATTTTAAATTAATTAAAACCTGGAGGATAATATTCTACTCAGTCTTCTGAACTTGATGCCCTCCATATGTGCTAGCATCACAACCTCCAGCATTTCCAGTAAACATGGCACTTTTTGAAAGTAGTTTCAGTGTATTTAGAGAATATTAGACTATGGATAATTGAACAAAAGGTACATTTTGCTCATTTAAATTGATCCTTTACTAAGAAAAAAAACAGGTTGAAGTAGATACTGAAATTGTTAAACTTTTACCTCCACTGTTATAACTTCAATGTAAACTTATTACCAAAGGAGTATTGTCACAATCAGCTGGTTTGAGAATATTTAACAGTCAGAGACATGAATACTAGCATATGCATTCCCTGTGCTCTTTGAAAATGCATCTCCATCATAATCTGTTGGAGATTCATTTTCTAGACCAGAAAAAGAACACAGTTAGGATACAGGGTAAGGCAGCAAATTAAAACAGCTATATTTGAGAAATGCACTTGCTCAGATTGTATAACTTGCTGACTGACAAAAATGTTGTTAACTCAGAATTTAAGAAACCTGAAGCAGAAAAGCTGCATATGCAGCTTCTGAGACACCTGAGATATTATAACAACTTGTTAAATCCTTTAAAACTAAAAAACCTACTATTAGTTTGTATAGGTATTTGTTATCAATAAATCAATTTGATATGCAGATACTAAGGG